CCTCATCCACACCCTCCTCGTCGTCGTCAGTTTCCTCCTTTTCCCTCCCAGCCCGAAGAGCCCTCATCGTGCTTCCCGACCACGCGCAGAGGGGGGTAAGGGGAAGGAGGGAAGGCTTCTTAGAAGCACCCCTGCTTCTTCGAAGGCGCGGACCTTCTCCCTATAGATGTAAGGCCGGCGCCGTCTAAGAAGCAGCCTCCTTCTAAGAAACTTTCCCGATTCCCCCATACCCTGTGCGCGCCGTCAAGCTTCGCGGTTCGGCTCCGATTCTTATTTGTCCTCCTCTTCTCCCCTGGGGGGCGGCGCTTCGCGGTTCGGCTCCAATTCCTCCTCGTCCTCCTCTTGGGTGAGGTGAGGGGCGGCTGGAGGAGGGCGGGAGGCTAAGCACGACGGTGTGTGTGTGGGGGGGGGGGGGAGGGGGAGGAGATCAAGGCGGGGGGGGAGGAGGAGGAGGAGGAGGAGGAGTAGGAGGAGGAGGAGGAGGAGGAGGAGGAGTAGGAGGAGATTAGGAGGCGGACTCTAAGAGGACGGGAATTAGAAGAGGCTAGGCAGGAATTGAGGAAAGGAGGAGGAGGAGGGGAGGAGGAGGAGGAGTAGGCGGGGGGGGGGACGGGCAAGTGATCACGTGGGTGGGGCGGGGTAAGGGGAGGGGCGGCTGGAGGAAGGGCGGGAGGAAGGCGCGACATGGTGCGGGGGGGAGTGAGGGGGAGGAGGAGGAGGAGGAGGAGGAGGAGGAGAGGAGAGGATGAGGAGGAGGGGCGGTGGAGTTGGGATTGGGAGGAGGAGGAGGAGGAGGAGGAGGAGGAGGCGGGGGGGGAACGGGCAAGTGGGGGAGGGTGGCCGGGGTGAGGGGAGGGGCGGCTGGAGGAGGGCGGGAGGCGAAGCACGATGGTGCGGGGGGGGGGGGAGGGAGGGAAGGGGAGGAGATCAGGGGAGGAGGAGGAGGAGGAGGAGGAGCAGGAGCAGGAGCAGGAGCAGGAGCAGGAGGAGGAGGAGGAGGAGGAGAAGGAGGAGGGCCGCAGCGCCCCCAGCAACCGCGGGGGCGGGAGCTGGGGGTCCAGTTCGGGAAAAAAGAGCAGGCGTCGCCCCTCGCACCGAGGGCGCCTACATAGTATGACGTCCGTGTCCACGAAGCTGAACACGGAGGGCCCCGCCTGTCTGCACACCATCCGAGCTTCTGTGAGAGGCTCACGTGGTGCCAACAGGCGGGGAAGGGCCACACAAGGGATCACCCACTGCGCACCTGGGGCATGCAAGCAGAGGCCCAACCACGAGGCGGCCGTGGCCCAAGTGGGCCAGGCAAGCCTCACGACTTGCGCAGCACCGTGAGGACCTCCTTCAAGACGTCCACCTCCAAGCCAGCGAAGAAGAACTCCTTGTCGGGTCGGGTCGCTAGCGCGAGGACCTGTGCGAGCACGGCCGCGCGCTCGTCCACCACCAGGGCCTCCAACGGAGCGGCCTCCGCAGACGGCAGGGCGAGACCCGCACCATCTGCTCCAGCCGCCGCAGGTGCCAGTGCAGCATGCTCGGGAGCACGACGCCGCCGACGCCGAGACGGCGTAGCAGCATCAGCCCACGAATCGTTGTCGAGGTCCGCGGCGTTGTCAGTGGCCGCGGGCGCGGGGCCGTCCAGCGCCATGGGCGCGACCGCCTGGACCTCCGCCACCTCAGCAGCAGCCTCACCACGTTCCAGCGCCCTTCGCCCAGCCAGCCTCTGGCGACGCCGACGGCGCCGCTCCCGCTGCGCCTCCGTGGAAGAACGAGCGCGAGAGGCAGCCGTAGGCCCACCAGGCTGCGCGGGCCCAGCGGCATCACCGCCAGCCATGGGCTCGGGCGGCCTGGCAACCGCAGCCGAAGCCGCCGCCGCCACTGCTGCGCGAGCGACGGCCGCGATGACCCGCTGTGGCGCCTTCCCCTCCACCGCGGCGCGCACTGCGGCGGCCACCAGGGCCGGGCCGTCGAGCGCCGGGAGGACTCCTCTAGGCCCCGCCATCGCGCGTGGGGAGGCGCGGACGAGCAAGGCCGTGCGGTCGCTTGAGCTAGGCTACGGAGGGGGAGGAGGAGAAGGAGGAGGAGGAGATCGCTCGAGATCGCTCGGTGGGTGACTTTGTCACGAGAAGGAGGAGGAGGAGGAGGAGGAGGAGGAGGAGGAGGAGGAGGATTCGCACGCAACAGGCTTCACACCGAATGTCTGAGCAAAAAAAGGAAAGGAGGAGGAGGAGGAGGAGGAGGAGGAGGAGGATCGGCGAGGAGCGGCGAGGAGCGGCGAGGAGCGGCGAGGAGGAGGAGGGGTCCGGGAGGCTTCTTGCCGCCTTTCCCCCCTGGGGCCCTCCCAGGCCTTGGGGGCTGCCAAAGAACCTGCCCAGAATGAAAGTCCCCTCGTACAGTCGAAACCGATGGTAAGGATGGGTAACCTTCCCAAGAGTGCCCTGTCTACTGAGGGGCGGGTGGGCGGGGTGAGGGGGGGACCGATGTCGCAGACGGTCCTTTTGGAATCAAGATGGCACCCAGGTGGCTCCCTCCGTAGCAATTTTGGCTCAAGCCATTTCGGCTCACCCGCTCGCCGTGGGCGTCCGGCCGCCTGCTGTCTCGCAGCCATGGGCGAAGAGGAAGTCGCCGCGCTGGTCGTGGACAACGGCAGCGGCATGGCTTCGCTGGCGACGACGCTCCGCGCGCCGTGTTCCCTTCCATTGTCGGCCGCCCGAAGATGCCAGGAATCATGGTCGGCATGGACCAGAATGACAGCTACGTGAGCGACGAGGCCCATGCGCGGCGTCCTCACCCTGAAGTGCCCCATCGAGCATGGCATCGTGACCAACTCGGACGGCATGTAGAAGATCTGGCACCATACCTTCTACCACGAACTCCGCGCGAATCGCGAGCGCATGACGAAAATTGTGTTCGACACAGTCAACGTTCCGGCGATGTACGTCGCGATCCAGGCAGTGTTCTCGCTATACGCCTCTGGCCGCACCACAGGGATCGTCATGGATTCTGGCGACGACGTGTCGCACACCGTGCCCATTTACAAGGGCTACGCGCTGCCGCATGCGACCCTGCGTCTGGATCTGGCAGGGCGGGACCTCACGGAGTATTTGATGAAGATCCTCACCGAGCGTGGCTACTCATTCACCACCACGGCTGAGCGAGAGATTGTGCGCGACGTCAAGGAGAAGCTCTGCTACATTGCGCTCGATCTCGATACCGAAATGAAGGTCGCAACTGAGAGCTCAGACAAGGAGAAAACGTACGAACTTCCTGATGGAAACATCATCACTGTGGGCAGCGAGCGCTTCCGCTGCCCCGAGGTGCTCTTCCAGCCCAGCTTCGTTGGCAAGGAAGCCTCTGGCGTCCACGACACCACCTTTCAGTCGATCATCCAGTGCGATGTCGACATCCGCAAGGACCTGTACGCTGGCGTAGTGCTGTCCGGTGGCACTACACTGTTCCCAGGCATCGGCGAGCGCATGGCCAAGGAATTAATTGCCTTGGCTCCTTCCACAATGAAGATCAAGGTTCTGGCTCCACCTGAGCGAAAGTACTCAGTGTGGATCGGTGGGTCTATCCTTTCTTCGCTCAGCACCTTTCAGCAGATGTGGATCTCCAGCGGTGAGTATGACGAGCCGGGCCCCACCATTGTGCATAGGAAGTGTTTCTGAGGGTTTGCCCTCAGTATGGTTTGGTAAACTAACACTTTGGATCGTTCTGCCCACAAGAGGGTTCTGCTCAAGCCAGCCAAGCTAGAATCGTCCGATGTGTTGGATGGAGTTTGTGAGCTTGCCTCACGCCCCAAGGTTCACATATTGCGCTGACAGTAAGAATTCGCATTGGCCGCACTGGCGTTGTGAAGTATGTCAGGACAACTGCTGAATCCTTTTGGCGTTCAGAGCAGTTCTCTCCGCCTGCGCAGGTCATCTGTTCTGCTCGTTGGCCCGTCTTGTTGCAGTTTGCCCGGGGCGTACCACCAGTCTACGGCAGAATGGCATGCAATTGGCGGAGACAGACAAAGAAAAGAAAAAAATGGCACCGAGGTGGCTCCCGATGTGGCAGCGAACGGCAGAGCGCTTGAGCCGAGCATGCGCAGCCGCGTCCAGCAGAATTGACCTCCATACCCTTCCCAACCTGTCTCTTTGGTCCACCCCTGACTCCTTTCGATGGCCAGCCGCGTTCGAAGAAGCTTCAGCACGGGCGTCCAAGGGGCCGACATCCTCATCGCGCATCCGTGCGACCAGTTTTGACTGCAGAGGGAGGAAGTCCAGCTACGCAAGCTGTCTCGCTCGCTCCCACCCGCAACACAGGAGTAGTACCACCCGAGTCTCAGCTGGGGCACGGGCCGCCATCGACACCCGTGCAGATACCAGCCATGTGCGCGACGCCCGCGAGGTGCGCCGCGCGTGCCAGGGAAGAGCGTCCTGGCCAAAAAACAATTGTGCAACATGATCGCGGGGGAAAAAGAGGGGGTGGGCAAGCAGGAGGGGGGGGAGGAGCAGCAAGTACTCCGTCCAAAGCGATGACCCAACCGCAAGGAGCGCTTGGGAACAAAAGGCACCATCGTAGACATTGAAAGCCCGAGGTTCAAGCCACCGCCATCGGCCGGCAGTAAGGGAGGCGATCTGGACCGCGTGGCAAGGGGCTCGGTGGGAGAGGCGTCGGCTGAGGTCGGTGCAAAACGTCTGGGCAAGCAGCGCAGAGAGGGAGGAGAAACCGAGGAGGAAGGGCAAGCGATGAAACGGTCGGGGCGATGACGCGTGGAGGAAAAGGAGGAAGAGGTGGAGGACGACGAGCGATGATAGGTCAGCGTCTGATACTGTAGGGGAAAAATTGCACCACTTCAAGTGGACAAGATAATACGGATGAAGGAGGAGGAAGAGGAGGAGGAGGAGGAGGAGAGCACTGACGGGAAAGCCTTCGAGGGGACTCGGAGGGCTCTCTGCCTGTCAGTCTGTTGCCTCGCTGCTCGCCGCAGCAGCCGCTGTCGAGGTCCCAGCGGTGCACCTGGACGACTGCCTCCTGGCGCTGCTGCAGCGCCCAGCGGCGGCGCTCTCGGCCGTGGAGGCCACCCCCGCGGGCACGCTGTTCCCCAGACCCCGTGCGCGCACGCTCGCGCGATGCGCCCGTCGGAGAGCAGCCGAGGGCCTGCCCGCACGTGCACTCGCGCGCGGCGCCTGCCCGAGCGCAACCCAGGGCCTGCCCGCGCGTGCCGGCTCGCGTGCGGCCAGCGTCTTGCAAAAACAAATTTGAAAGAATAGCCTGGCAAAGGACCCAACCATATGCAGTTGTGAGCACGAAACGTGTGTGGTGGGGGGGCGCCGGGATGGTGTAGAGAAGGCATGCGGGCCCTGGCACTAGGAGGTGCTGTGGCACAAAAAACCACAGAAGAGTCCCACATCTCACAGGGGGGACGGGAAGCCCAAGAGACCGCCCAGTTCGGAAGCCGTTTCGCTTGAGACTTCTTCACAGTGTACAGTGGAGGCTCATGCCAAGAAACACCCCGCTTGCCTCCAGGGTGCCCTAGGTTTCTTGGGTTTCGATAGTTTTGCTGTCGGAGGCGTGACGTTCCCACACCAAAAGTTAACGGACGTCCTGGGGTCTCAGGGTTGGGTTTCTTGTGGAAGGTTTCTTGTGGTCGGGCCTCCACTGTATTCAGGAATCGTGCTCTCGCCTCAATGCCAGCTACAAGTTTGGTCCGGACGGCCGCGATCTATTGCAAGAAGGACAGTCAAGTGCATATGGCCGTACTCTCACCATTGTCCTGGATGCCTCGTTCCTAGGAATCCCACCCAAGAATGTACATTTTCACTGGCCGATCTCCTACTCCTCGACCCGCCTCTTCACCCTTGATACTAGTAGGGTGCTTGGCTGGGGTAATTTCAAGACGAGGTTCCCACGGCAGTCCCGACCCTGTCCTTGCGGGCCCTGTTCGCATTTTGCGGCCGCTTCTCGGAGGCCCCGATGCCAGAACATGGCCTCCGAAGGCCGCGAACAAGGCAAGACGTGCGTTCTTGTCTGCTCAGGGCGGCAGGCGTCCCCTCTCCCTGACTCCAGACCCACCGTACTGTGGTTGATCCTGGTTCGAAATTATGTCGGGACGTCACTCCGAACAGTGCAAAAAAGATGTCTCCGCCAAACAGTATGTGGCGGCAACAGGGACGGCAAGGTGGGGCAGAAGTCTGCATCACATGAGCTGGAAGCGCAGGGCGGAAAGTCCCCCCCTCGCCCAAGGTACGGCAGATCCGAAGTAGGAGTTCCCGCCCTGCCCCACCGTGCTCTCCGCCGCCGGGCGGCCTCGCGGTCTCTCCACGCTTGGAAGCCCCCTGGCCCTCTGAGGCGCTTCCGAAGCCTCCCCCGAAGACGCAGAAAACCTCGCAGCAGGCGCGAGGGATCCTGAGAGGCCCCGCCGCCTTCTGAGAAGGCCTTCTCCCTTTTCCTTTCCCCCCCCATCGTTGGGTCGGGCATGTCCCTCTACAGGAGGAATATCCAAAAGTAGTCCATGATAGTGACAACGTTTGAGTATGGTTGACTCTGTTTGAATATGTGTGAGTATTTTTTTGTACGTTCCTCCAAAAGCCTCCTAAAGGGGGACATGTCCGACCTAACCCCATCGCTCGCCGCCGAGCCTCTTCCTCCTGAGTCGGTTTTTGACTGCCCCAGGGCCTGGCGAACGCCCCCAGAGGCCGAAGCTTGCGAGCCAAAAACCGCCGTCCTGAGTTTCTCGAGGCTGGCTCAGGAGCCCCTGTCCGTCGAGAAGAGGCCGCCGCCGCAGAGGAGGGAGGGAGGGAGGGAGGGAGCATAAGGAGGAGGAGGAGGAGGCGGAGGAGGAGGGGGCGGAGGGAGAGAGGGAGGGAGGAGAAGGAGGAGGGGACGGAGGGAGAAAGGGAGGGAGGGAGTGGGAGGGAGTGAGGAGGAGGAGGAGGAGGAGCAAAAGGAGGAGGAAGAGGGTGTAGGAGGAGGGGGAGGAGGCCTTTAGGAGGAGGAGGAGGAGGAGGAGGAGGAGGAGGAGGAGGGAGGAGGAGGAGGAGGTGGAGGCAGGAGGGAGGGAGGAAGGGAGGAGAGAGGGAGGGAGGAGGAGGCGCAGGGAGGAGAGAGGAGGAGCAGGGAGAAGGAGGGAGGAGGAGGAGGAGGAGGCGCCCTTCCCTGCCCCACCGCGCTCCAGTCCGTCCAGGCGGCCTCGCTGCTCCGCGCGCTGCTCCTGCTGCAGCCGGCCCCATGCTGGGGCGCTTTGGCGCCCCGCCGCGCTTGCGGCGCGGCGGGGGCCCTGCTCTCCGCGGAGGGGCGCCGCGGGGGCGGGCATCCGGGGCGCTGGGAGGAGGGGGCAAACTGTTCCTCCTCCTTCTCCTTCCTCCTCCTTCCTCCTCCTCCTCCTCCTCCTCCTCCTCCTCCTCCCCGTCGAGCTCTGCGGGGATGTGGGTGCGGGAGAGGAAGCCACCAACGCCGAGCCACACTATTCGAAAGGGACGTCGCCAGTTGGAGACAGAAACGGGGCACAGCATGCTCAAGAAGAGGGGACGGTGGGTCTGCCAGGAGTGCTCGAAGTCGCCTGGCAAGTACAGCGTCGTGGACTGGATGAAGGCGACTGCGTGCTGTGTGTACTGGGAGGCAGTATGAGACGCATGGAGCCGACCATGGACACGGAGTCCCTGTTCCCAACAACGAGATGAGAGAGGTGGATGGCAGGGTGATCCAACCCAGCCACCAGATTGCGGTCGCTTATGGCCAGCTGTGATGTTGGAAATGTGCGCTGGTGGCCACACTTAACCGTGACGGACGAGGGCGGCTCGCGAAGTTGGCGGATGTTTACAGGGACAGTAGTATCACACCCTGCCGGGAAACAGTGCCGAAGAGGCTGAGGCTGGGGCGACCACCCAAGGCTGGACAATGCTGGCCCGACGGCACGATCCCACCGAATTGCGGCCTGACCCCACGAGTTACGGCTGGGCCACGACGAGCAGAGCGACGCCGACGAGGTTGAGTTCACGGTTCGGGGGTGGGCGCAGGCCGCGAGCCTCATGCCAGGGTGGCGGCCTCCCCGCAGCGATATTCTGCCCTGGGCGCGCGTGGGCCCGCCGCGGCCGCGTCGACGGCGGACGCCCATTGACCCTCGATCCCCAATGCTCCTCCTCCTCCTCCTCCTCCTCCTCCTCCTCCTCCTCCTCCTCCTCCTCCTCCTCCTCCTTTTCCTCATTCAGTCAAACATGCTCGTCCTCTGCTGGGCAATCGGAGCTGATTCCGAGTGGACTGCAGTCTTCTTGCTATTGACAGCGGGCACTAACTCTAGTTTAAAAAAGATCCTCCTCCTTCTCCCCCTCCTCCTCCTCCTCCGCCTCTCCTCTTCCTCCTTCTCCTCCTCCTCCTCCTCCTCCCCCTCCTCCTCCTCCTCCCTCCTCCTCCTCCTCCTCCTCCTCCTCCTCCTCCTCCTCTTCCTGTTCCTCGTTCGGTCCAGCATGCTCGTCTTCTGCTGGGCAATCGGAGCTGACTCCGAGTGGACTGCAGTTCTCCTGTTGTTGACAGCGGGTACTGGTTCTGGTTTAGAAAATCCTCCTTCTCCTCCTCCTCCTCCTCCTCCTCCTCCTCCTCCCCCTCCTCCTCCTGCTCCTCCTCCTCCTCATCATCATCAACATCATCCTCCTCCGTTTCCTCCTTCGGTCGAGCATGCTCGTCCTCTGCTGGGCAATCGGAGCTGACTCTACGGGCTTACGCCACATCCGCCGACCCCTTCTGTGAGTGTTGCGAGGCCAGGAATTTCTGGCCAGCGGCGTCTTGTGTGAGGGTGCGGTGTCGCGCGCGGGTGGTGGCAGATACGTAGGGGGTCCAAATGTTTGCGTGATGCCGGTGGTCTGGGGCGTGTTTTGCGAGCGCTTTGCGTGCTGTGCACCCGGGTGCGGGGTGTCCTTCTGGGAGGTCGGCCTTTCGACCCGCAACCAAGTGGAGGAGCACTGGAAGACGAAAGGAGCAAGAGTAGTGTGTGGAAGCTGTGATCAGCGAAGCATCACAGCGAAAGATGTGGCAGATGAATCGAAAAGGG